CTAAAATATGCTCAGAATCATGCAGGGAAAAATCGGGATCATCAGCGTACATTCGACGCCATCGAAACCCGCCGCTTTTGCATTGATAGCAGCCTGCTTGAACTGCGCAATTAATAAAGTGGGGTCGGCGATTTCAGTGGGCTGTCCACGTTGAGAAAGTGGTTGAGGAAAGTAGATTGGTTCATTCATACCGTGACGTATCCAGGAGCCCCAGGAAGGAAACGAAAATTTCCGCCACGAGCAGAAATTGCGGAAGGCGCGTATACCGGCTGTTCTTCACAATTCAGTCCAGCTCAAAATCAATAAAATGTGGCTTTCCTCGCCAGCAGTGATCTGCTCGGGAGCATCAGGGTGACTGACGCGGCCGACTAGCCAAGACAGCTGGGTGTTAGGGGAGTCAACAGTGAGGGACAGACTTACGATGCCAAAGCTGAAATGAATTAGTTCCGAATATTCTCTGTGAATGGCTGACTGGGAAAAACACCTGAGCGTAAATTTTGCTCCCGGCCTCATGAACGGCATCTGTTATCTTCTTCCAACCTGCGATTTGAGCTTCCTCCCAGATTCCGGGAGCTTGGGGCCATTCGGTTCTCGATCAGATGTCAGTCAACGCAGAGGATTGGAACAGATGCTGGATTACCCTTGACGCGTAATGAGGGTGCCCTCAGAAACAATCAGACCAGCTCCCCCGGCGGCGCGTTGAGTATAGTATTTCAGCATAATCTCGTTGGGCACAGTTGCGGTGGCACGGCTGCGGGTCAGAGCAGACATCCCTGTCACTAGTAAGCCTCACAAATCAAAAGGCGACTAGAAAGAACGTACCAAGTCTGTTTGGGATGGTAGTGCTTCCGAGCTTCAGAGGGCTGAATAGGGCAGACATTTCGAGGATAGTGTTCAGCTGAGAGTTGTGATCTCGTCCTGATTTATTTTTGCAGCGAGCTCCGACACGCAACCGCTCTCTGACTCCTAAGTCACGGTATAGTAAGCGAACGCAGATCAAAGCGATGAGATCGGGCCCAAAAGTTACAAAAGCGGCATTAGACGACTTGGTCAAAACCGTTTCTTGTTTTGTCTTGCGAAATATTGAAAGGAGCATGCAAGCGGGGAGCGTCAAAAAGTTCCAGAGCAACCAGGCCTCGATTGGCGAAAAGTGACGACAGCTGCGTGAGAAAGACAGGACCAGATCTCGGATGGCATGATTGCGGAACAATTCCGAGCACTTATTCTCACCCGTCCGAAACGCCATGGTACAGCCTGGCACCCTGGCAGCTTGCACTGCAAGTCTCAGGCGAGAGGTCTCCGGGAATCTTGATGACGGTTCAACAGCCAAGATTTCGCCGGGCGTTTTTGTTTGCTATTCAATTTCTATTCCCAAATAATTAAAATTCTGTCCAAAATTCAATTCGCCGGGAACCTCCGATGGATTAGCAGACTTTGCAATGGCTCCGGAGGCACACACCGTGCAGTGTCGTCGGTTCCTGCATCCATATCTGAAATTCCAGGGACTGGAACAGTTCTAGGTCTCCGAGTAAAAAAATGTCGTCTGCATCAATCACCCCCCCGATCGTGGATTACCAATCCGGTGATATCCGTACCACTAAGTACTCCAAAAACCCGAGTACTCCGTCTGCATCAATTGGCCCCCTGATCGTGGATTATAAATCCGGTGATATCTGTACTGCTCTGCCTGCAGATATCCAAACCCTCAGCTGCACAGTAAGATGAATACAGCCAACCAGAGGGTCCATAAGAAGCAAAAAACTGGCCCAATGAGAGCTGGTCGACGCTCGCGTCGACCGAGCGAGCTTTGGGTCAGAAATCCAAAGCCGAAACTTGAATTTGAGGCTGCGCAATTTGTGATTGCCGACTACTACTTATTCCCACCAGAGCACGATGATCTGGCCGGTGAATTGCCAGTCCCAGGGATGCCCGGAGGGCCCTCATGAATAATTTTCGTTTGAGCTCCTTTTAAAAGTGCGCTGTCTACTTGCTGCGCGCATTTTTCTTCAGACACCCTCAATCCTATATTCGGAATCTCATTTCGCTGGGTTATTGCCGACTCACCATGCTCGGTATTTGCCTGTTTAAACTCGGATACCGAACCAGATGCTGAAATACATCGTCGACTCGACGGAGATTGGACATTGGGGATCTTTTCATCACATATGAATGGATTCATGCCAGCGCTGGAGATGTGTCTGGAAGCTCTTACCTTGCCTTGCCTGAACGAAATTACGTTCCTGGTAGACCAGTGCAGAGAACTCCAAACCCTGGATGCCGCATCTCAACACGCTCCAACTGGACCACCTCTACCATGTCGCCGTTTCCGAAAGGGGACTCCTCCAAACCCTAGGTGCGTTACTCACGTTGCAGCAGCATCGAACAGGTTTTAATTTCCGACACCCTTTTCACTGCTCTCTCCCGTACCCCCGATTCCCTGTGACTCGTTCCTGACCTCCATCCAAACTCCTCTGATTGTGGGTCTATGCTGTAGTTTAAGGACAAGGTTTATCTGCATGGCGTGCTCTCGAGGGCTCAGGGGCTGCTGCTACCAGACACTTTCAAATGTGAGTTGTGGTGCATTCTCTAGACAAATACGCGAGCGACATTCTGCAAAGTTGTGCCGATTTGCAGAGGCTACGGTCAAACAAAACTGACCACTGTGTTATGTGCGTGATTATGTATACTACGCTGGGATTGTATTCACCACTTTTTCTCAGTTTGGGTAGTGGTTCAACCGTGAGAATTTATCATTTCTAACTCGCGGACCAAGTTTGAGTGCGGGACCTCGCGCACTTAAAATTGCCATCTTGTTTCTTTTGGGCCTGGTATTTGACCAGACTACTTACTAGTATAGAGGGTTCAGATAATTAATTTTGAACCTACAGCCACCACATACAGGTCAGGGCGATACAAACAAGGGTGAATTCACAAACAGCGGCGGATATAAATACCTGGAGACGAAGTTGAATCGTGTTGCTCACCGATATACAATATCCCCCCATTCTTCCGATTCCGATTCCGGATCGTCTTCTCCCTCTGCTTCCTCTCTCACTAGTCCTTCCTCTTTCTCCTCAAGTTCAACGCCATCATGAACCCACTTTCCAAAGTCGAGCCTAACCTGATCCTCCCATCCCTGTGCGCGTCAATCACTGTAGAACTGCTCACCGAGCCTGGGCGGTGGCCCCCGGCACCCCGACGCCCCTGGGTAGAAAACGGCGAGACTCAGATCGCCAGGGCCTTCACAATTGTTGCTGGGCCAGCGTACACAAAACCTGGCGGATGGATTCCGATGGACAAACGACACCACGAGGTCATAGAGCGTCCCCATGCGTAGCGCTGCCAGCTTTGGCACTGCGCGTTGATGCGAACAACCTTCCGAGCTCCACCATTCGGAGCGCGTCACTGTCACGAGCGCCATCTGTGTCGGCAGCTGGGCGAGCAGCATGCGGCGCCAGCTCGCGTCCGCGCGCCGGAACACATCGGGGGCGGCGCTCCACGGCATCTCCGTAAGGAAGGAGACGTTCCCGGGTCAGGACCAATATCTTTCAGGGTCTTCCGTGCCAGGAGCGAAGAACGGCGGGAATATTTCCTTGAGGAGGGGATTTTCTGTGGGTTCAGACGACTCGGACGGACTTGGCTGGTATGGTAGGAAGAAGAGAGCGCGCTGCAGAGTAGGGGTGAAGGTGGTCGCCTGCCATGTTTTGCTGACGAGGGGTGCAGTGACCCTCGGAGGTGATCGCAGATAGGCAGGTGGGCGAGGGTGAGCTCGAGGAGCTCGGGGGTAGAGAGAACAGCGTCTTGAGCGGTCGACATGAAAGTGGTGAGTGGGAGGCCTGTAAAAAAGCTGTGCAGTTCAATCGCCTTTTATATAGCTGGGAAATAGGGGTTAATTGGTAATAGGTCTTATTGCACTGATCCGAGACAGCGGCCACTTATGGCTTTATCCTGGCTTTGTTCGACGAGCGTAGACAAAAGCACAATGCTTCGGACTCCGGAGTCCTCTCAAAAGCAGATTCAGAACACTGCGTGCATGGAGCAGCAAATGGCACTAGATTCTTTCTGTTCAACCTGCTATTTTCAAAAAAAAAAGTGAGACTCAGAATTTCCTGCACGAGGATCAAGGGGGAACCGATCCCCGAAAATCACACTACACCTCAAATTTTGTTTTTCAGCGAAATCGAGGACCACCCACCCCCCCAGAAAAGGAAATTCCCATTTTGGGAAGCCATCAAACGTTCTGATGCATCGGCACGACATCGGCAGCAAGCGATCCAACTATTCAGAGTACTGTTGCGCCACAAGTTACATAGAATATGTACCAAATGCTCAATGGGTTGATATCCTGATAGCATAAAGTTTTTGAGAGCCAGTTGACCTCCACAAATAAGACGCGATAATACAACAACTGAGCGTAAGTACTTTTTATCAACTTTCTATCTTCGCCAGGCTTCCTGCACTTGTGACACTCCCAGACCGTGTTGGGTGTAAGACGAATGGGGTCACGCCCTGGACCAGACTCAGGCTCCGAGTGATTTGCTTCGTTGCTTGGCGCAGGTGACCCAGGGGCCAGAATGCTGCGTTGACTCGGAGAGTGAAAACTATTATGGCGTGAGTACATTGTCGGATATAGGGGTACAAGAAAAGATTCACGGTTGATAGGTGCTTTTTTAAGCCTGAGGGCTTCTTCGACGTGTCCAAATCAACAATGCCACACAGCGCAAACTTATCTTAGATACCTCCATTGTTGGAAAAAAATGAAAAGTGTTCAAAACACAAATTCTAGGTGGAAAATCACCCCGACCAAGTTACAAAATTTGGTATGAATTTTGTTTTTCACAAACCCAGAGGGACCCCCCCCCTCCCCCATATTAGGAAATTTCTTATCTCCGGAGTCCCTTGACGAGGATACTAAGGGCAGCGTTTAAAGAAGGACAGTAGGTTCGAACCAAAAAAACCAAAAAACCAAAATCAAACAAAAGGTAAATCTGCGAGAGCTATGCGTCCGCCGGGAGTCGAACCCGGAGCTAGGCCATGGGAAGACCCAATGTTACCGCTACACCACGAAAGCATTGGGGAGTAGGGCGGCGACGCGTCCTAAGTAAATCCGGAGTTGGAACTTTTGGTGATCCTCGAAGCGCTGCGCTGAGTTGTTCACCGGAACAAAATTGTCCTTCGAGGAAAAAATGCGAAATAAAATTCTTCTGGCAAGTAGGAATTGGGACTCGGCCAGCTCAGTGTCATTATCGTATTGATCCAAGTTCAAGATGAAGTTGTGAGTGAAATTTGCAGAAAGAAACGGGGAGGGAGGGCACAGGATTAAGTGCTAGCATCAAGCACAAGGAGGAAAGCAATCGGCGAGGTAGAGTAAAGTAAAGTGAAAGTACAAGGCGCGGCCAGTCAGTCGTATGGAGAATTCGGCCTGGATAAATATTTTGTGGACGTCGGGCTCGTTGTGTGAAGGACAGACAGCAGGCAGGAAGGGCTCGACTGTCGAAAGCGTTCTGGGGGGAGAATCGGAGAGGATGGATTTGGATTGGGAATTGGACCCCAGAGTGAAATCAACGGGAGCTGAGGCGTATTGTCCATGGTAGAATTACAAGTCAGGAAGTCGTGTCCAGCGCGCAGTCACAAAAGAGATCCAAGTCTGTGAACGCGGACTTTGTGCGGATACGTCCAGCTTCCAGATAAAACATAAAAGCGACCTACATGTCCCTGCTTGCGGACCGGTGACAGACAGCCTACTTGAGTGGAACAAGAATGATTTGATCGGCAGGGAGATCAATCGCCACGTACAAAGTACAAGGCGGGGTGCGGCTTGCGTGTGTGCGGAGAATTCAGAATACGCCGGGGCTGTGTAATTGGGAAGACCCGCAGCAGAATGGATGGAGGAAAGGAAGGGGTGGACCGAGGGAGGGGATACGAGTCCGAGTCGACGCGAAAACCCACGTCAGTCTCGACCGGTCGGTCGTCAGGTACTTATGTTTTTATTGTATTGCAGTAAATGTGCGCAGGCCAAGAGGAGTCGCAGATAGATAAAAAGGATTCACAGCAGAGCGGAGGAAAGGAAGGGGTGGACCGAGGTAGAGGATACTAGTAGACGCGAAAACCCACGTCAGTCACAGTCAAGCGACGACTGGTCGTCAGGTACTTGTGTTTTATTGTATTGCAGTAAATGTGCGCAGGCCAGGAGGACAGAGACAGATATACATAGACACGGCGACCAGGAACCCACGTAAATAGTAATTATTGAAGAAAGAGTCAATGCGGATCCAGGGCAGGAAAAAATCCTTAGGCTGGCACCAAGCAAAGATTCGGTTAGGCGTGAAGACGCTGGGTCGATAAATAAATTTAGACGCTTGAGGGACAAAGTCCAACACATCGGCGAAAACGCGAGACCCCGACGATTTGATGGACGTGCGCTGCGAACAAGGTGTTGCCAGCGATACGACCGAAGATGAAAGCTGGCTAACAGAAGAGCACGAGGCCACCCCGCAGAATACAAGGCACCCCGCTTCGGGAAGACAATAGTTGTTGGTGACAAGCTGTGGCAATGATGCTTGTCCTTGTTATGTCGCCATGGCTAAATGCGGATACTGCCTGCTCATTGTACGCGCCAAAGCGGAAGAATGGGCGGCGAACGCGCTCGCATTGTTCTTTGCAATGTGGAAGGTATAAATACGCGAGAATGAACGGCTTGAAGGATAAGACTCCCGGTCTCCCCTCCAAGCCTTTCACGTCGGTTCCACGATCCCTCTCTGTTCTCGGAAACTCTCTGCACGGTCCTCTCGTCTGTATCTCCTGCTCAGCTCTTCAACGACCTTTACGCTTCGCACTTTAGTGAGATATTTCTCTTATAACATCTCCTTTCCCTTCTGACTTATGTTTCCAGACCCGAATTTTCTCCATCGCCGGCCGATCCACCATGTCCTCTGCCATCCCGCACGTCGTCGCTTTCCTCACGCGCCCCCTTCTCTCCAGCGGTGCAATCGCTCCCACCGCCGTCTCCTCTGCGCAACTCATCCTCGGCGCGTCTCTCGCGTCTGTGCCATCCGCGACATACGCGTTGACCGCCGCTACGCCCCCCGCGCCCCTCCTCGCCGCATCCATCGGCGCGGGCATCCCATGGGCTGCGTGGTTCGCGTCCTTTTCCACCACCGAAGTACTGCTGGTGTACGGCCCCGGCTTCGTCAAGGCCCGCCTCGGCGCCGGCCTGCCCGTAAAAGACATCTGGAGCGAGGAGGAGCAGGGCAGCGTCGTCCCCATCGCCGTATCGCGCGTCCACGCGAAGGTCGGGTTATCCAGTCCCCTCGACTTCACCACCGGTGCCCGCCTCCGCGCGATGCTCCTCTCTGCGCGCGTGCGCGGGATGCGCCGTGAGCGCGAGCAGTCGGTTGCCGCCGCCGCCATGGAGCCCATAGCCATCCGCATCCCGAGCCTGCCGGCCCTCTGGGCCCTCTCCCCATCGCCTCTCTCAAACTCCGTATCTGCCATGGACTCGTCGTCCGACTCGGATGACTCGGATTCGGACTACTGCGACTCGGATTCCTCTTCCTCTGCCTCGTCCGCCTCGTCGAAATTTACCTCCTACTCGACCGACTCGCTCACGTCCACCGACTCTGCGCCTACTACGCCCGTCAAATCCTCCCTGAAGACGGCGCTCCCTGTAGTCAGCGCAGGCGCTTACCGCCCCCCCTTCGCCCGCTCGCAGGCAAAGGCCACCCAGCGCCCCGCCCCCGCCGTGCCCACCCCCCGCGCCGCCGCACGCCCGACGAAGACGAAACCCACCGTGGCCGTGCGCCCAAACCCAAAGAAGGTCGACACCACCGCCTACCTCTACGCCGGCGGCGTCACGCGCGTCATGACTGGCGGCGTCATGCTCGGCGCGCGGCGGTCGTAGTCTCCTTGCATGCCTCTTGCTTGCTGCCTCCTGCTTCATGCTCCCGTCTCCGAGTCTCTGGCATCTGCTTCTCCTCTGCGCTTCCCACCTATACATACGAACGCCGACACCCCGCCCACGAAAAATCACGCATTACGCACTCACGCGCTCTGAACCTCCATCCTGACTCTTCACTTTTGTAGCATCTCTTCTTCCTCTGTAGCCCTTGTACTGTCTGTACTTTCCTCGTTAGGTATATATATCACTAATTGTATTCGTATGAAGATCCATCTATCTCTTTGCCGGCTACGTCTGATTCTGAGTAGCCTCGCCCGACACGATCGATTCCGAATGCACTCTGCTCCTCCGCACTGGACGTCCGACATTACAATCGCATTCCTACACGGTCCCCTCGTCTGATTCTGTATCTCCTGCTCCTACTCTTCAACGGCTTTTCCGTCTAGTACGATATTTTCTTTTCTCATACCGTCTCCTTCCTGAATCCTTTCTGACTTTTTCCCCCTCAGACTGACTCCAAATTTTTTCCATCGCCGGCCGATCCACCACTCTGCCGTCCCGCACGTCGTCGCGCCCCCCTTCTCTCCCGGGCCAGCGGTGCATCCGCCCCACCGCCGCCTCCTCCTCGACGCGTCCCTCGCGTCTGTGCCCTGGGCGACATACGTGTTGCGCCTCTATCGTGGGCTTCAAGCTAGCTGCCACCGTCGAGATACTGCTGGTGATCCAGCCCCGGCTTCGTCAAAGCCCGTAAAAGCATCGCGCGCCGGGCTGTGGGATCCCCTCTTGCAGCCAAACAACTTCCCCACTGGCGCGAGCGCGAGCAGACTATTGCCGCCGCCGCAATGGACGACAACGTCCTGTGTCTGACGGCCTTCTCACCCCTCTCCTCGTCGTCCCTCTCAACCAACTCCAAGTCCAACTGCCTTGGACTCGGATGACTCGGACTCACCACTACGACTCCGCGCCTCTTCGAAATTCACCTCCTATTCCACCGAATTGCTGACGTCTGCCGACTCCGCACCCAGGTCCACCACGCCCCTCAAATCCAAACCTCCCCGAAGGCGACAACGCTCCCTGTCGCGGGCGCAGGCGCGTTCCGCCCTCTCCACCCACTCGCAGGCAAAGGCCACACCGTGCTCTGCCCCCGCCGTGCCCACCCCCCACGCCGCCGCATGCCCGACGAAGACCAAGCCCTCTGCACCCCGCGCCACCCCCGCTCCCATCGTGCGCCCGGACCCAACGAACGGCCGCCTACTCTACGCCGACGGCGTCATGACCGGCAGCGTCATGTTCGGCGCGCGGCGGTCGTAGTCGTAGTCCCAGGTTTCTTCCCTGCTTCCTGCTTCATGCCCCGTCTCCGAGGCTCCGCTTGCCCACCTCCAAGTCTCTCCTTCCCCGCCTCCGAGGCTCTGTCCTTTCCGCTGTATAAAAACCTACGCACCCCGCCCACGAACTTCGAAATCACTCACGCGCCCTTCATCCAGCCCTACCATTCCTATTCCTTCTTCTTCTGTAGCCCTCGCCCTCGTATTGTCCCTGCTCTGTACTTTCTTTCCTCGTTAGGCATACATATGAATAATTTGTATGTATCAGTACCATATCAACATCCATCTTTCTTTGCCGGCTTGATTCTGATTTCGAGCAGCCTCGCCCGACACGATTCTGAATGCTCCGCACTGGGCGTCCGACACTGGAGTTGCTACCCACATCATGCGTATGTCAGTCTCGTCGCACACAGATACTAATCTCTAGCTTGAAGACTATTGATTTGGTATGGATCTGTATGGATACAAACATTTCTATGACAGCTTCCAGTCTGGTATCTACACTTGCTGGCTATTTACGAGTCATTATAACACAAAAATAAAAATAAAAATAAAAGCGCGACCTCCCTAGGCCTGCTGACTCTTCCCAATTTTTTCGGTGACCGCCCGTCCAGCCTGCAGCCTCTCTAGCTCCTCCCTCACACCGGGACCAAATTCCAAGGCATGTGAACACCATATGCGATGAACGCATGTGGTTCACATGTGGAAGAAAGGCTGCACAGTGCAAAGCCGCCTGGGCTTGTAGGGCGTTGATTGAGGGATTGAGAGTGCGTTATGAGGGGCGGCAGCAGCAGTATACTTAGGGAGGCAGAAGCGGCTTTGAAATTTTTGTGTTTTTACTCGATTATG